GATTTGCTAATCTTAGCAAAAGCAGGTAAGCAAAGCATTTCTAAAATAAGTTATTTTTGAGCTACTTTCAGCTTAGTCCAGCTACAAACTGGAGTGATAAATGACACAGCAGGATACAAAAGCCCCGAGCAGGTTTCTTACACCTACAAAAGACATCACAGAACTGAGAGTATTTTTCACACAAGCAAGACCTACTTTAAAATCAAGAGTAAATAACAGATTCACAGATACATTTTGTAAAAATATTTTTGCTTTCTTGGTTTGCTTTTTACCTCTCTCTGCTACTAATTGATTTCATGCCCTTATCAGCACCTTTTAAAGGTTCTTATTTCAGTTCAGATAGACTATCCTGCCTTTTTTCTTCTACTATTAATAGACACATTCTGTACTGGAACAGGTGTTCTGCCTTGAAATTCTGGTGCAAACTCCAGAAAAGAAAAAAACATTTTTGCAGGAGATTTTTGACAAAACAGCACACCCCTTCACTTTCCCAAACTATCTGTCTAGGCTGACATTTTCCATGAAGACCCAGAACAGCAGATCTCATGCAGACACACGAATCCCTCTGCACACTTCATTGAGAACAAAATGCAAAATTCTGATTATTTCCAGCATCCAAATCTGGTTGTCATTGGGAAAACTCTAACGGGTCACATTAGCACACAGGATTTTTCTGATCAGAAAGCCTGTTTGCTTTCAGGAGATGGCTGTTATTGAAAGCAACAACTTTGTTCAGGATTTAAGTAGGGGGTGAGGAAATAGGAGCTGAGTAAGGCTTTTTTTTCTATTGTTCCTCTCAACAGGTGGGAGGCTGTTCACACAGCTCTGCAGAATGGCAGGGGAGGCCAAAAAGCCAGGAAATGCAACTGCCCTCTACCAGCACTCCAGGAATGAGAAGAGTTAAGCTGGGAGCCAAGGTGCAGAGCTCAGGTTTAGCTACAGAAACAAGGGCAGCAGAGGTCTCTCAGTAAAATACTGCCACTCACACCCCGCAGCAGTCCCGTGTCCCAGTGTTCCCTGGCAGCAAGTGCTGCAGGCAGGCACTACAGACAGTGATAACTCATGGCAAGCTCACAAAAGCCAGCATATGCCATCAGCACTTCAGACTGGCTCATCTGAATTGGTGATCCTGTTGGGGATCCACAAATTGGGATTTCTAGGACAATTCTTGTCCCTACAAAGCAAAGTCAGGAAAAATTAAAGAGAGGTGTTCTTGTAAAATGCTAGAATGCATTAAAAGTGCTACATCAGGCATTTTGGAGTGGGAACATTTTTAAATTAATGCTTTTCAAATACTCTGTCTTCACCTCAGTCAAAAAACTAAGTAACAGAATAAGGCTTATTATATTTTAATTTTCTAACTCCACAGGAAATGTCTTACTATAGTAGGTGAATTCACATGAGTTAAATTACCAAATCTAACATCCTAGAGAAAGTATGTAGCAGCCAGGGACTAAAACTCCTCTTGTTCTTAGAAGCATTCCCTTTGTATGAGGTCTGTCAGTTCAAAACAATAACAAAGAAAAGCAAAATGCTTCCAGTATCAGCTAAAGATTACATGGCTTTCACTCAAATAGGATGGTTTGGTTACATTAAATACTGAAGAGCAGAAAAAAAGGAGCTACAAATCCAAATTCTACCAATTTCAAAAGAACCTTCCTGACCAATACATACCTACACCCAACTGAAGTATTTCAGCTTTTGTTACATGCAGCAATTCATTCTTTTGAAAAGCAGTCACCCCACCACCCAGGCTTGAAGGTAGTCTTATTTAACTAGAGAAGTTGTGCTGTGCCAGGCTTAGCCCATTAAATATGACATCTCCTTGACAGACCTTTTTCACCAAAGAACTAAGGAAATTCACACAGGAAATCCACTTCTGGTAGTGCACACTATAACCAAAACTCACTGCTTCTCATCCCAACACACAGCATCTCAGATCTTCAGGCGCCTGTTTCTTCCCAACCCAGGCACGAGCCGTTCCATTTCCTAAAAAAGACCTTGCAGAAATACACCATGAGATCATACAATTGAGATTGCTATATACATATAAATGAACCCTCTGCAAATGGCTCGAGTGATCTTAGTAATTTCTTCTTAATATCTGATCTGAAACTGCACCTTCTGATGCAATGCTCTCGCACTGGGGGAGAGCACTTGAAATACCCCCAGCTTTCTCCCTGCTTTGTTCCCTCTCTCACTGTTTGTTACCAATAATAGCAGGTGAGATAAAGTTATCACATATATTTACTTACTTTCACAGTCTTGCACATGAACAGCAGCATAACTTCATTTGCATTTCAGGCTACTGGAAGCAGTACAGCTCACACATATTTTTGGGCGTACGCTTAGTCCAAGCTGACTTCACCAATTTCAGCTTGAAAGCAGCATTTGTTTTCACATGTTTTAGATGAGAGCACATGTGAAGTTAGTGAGCACACAAGCCTGCCAAACCAACACCTTTCCCAGTCAATTTTCCAAGTGCAACTACTTAATGTAGGTCTCCTGTGCTTAATTAACACTTTATTTTCAACCCTATGACACAAGGGTGAACTACAAATACAACTAATAAGATCCTCTGTGGCAAGCAATTTAGGTAATTCCTAAACTGACTATATCCACGCTGACACCAATAATACTGCAAGCACAAAGAGATGCCATATTAACACTTACACCAGCATGGACACAAGAAGTAGGAGGAAGACCATCACTGGCAAACTTTAAAGGGAAAATATTCAAAATCATTAGAGACAATGGTGTGAGCTGCAGACAGCAAAGAGTCTCTGTGGCCTTGCACTAAAAACCTCCAACAGGATCAGTGAAAGGTTTGCAGATGAAGCTGTGTGTTTCAAGGAGTCACCTTCACCTACAGCACACAGGTTTAGTCATTCACCTGCTATTTTGGCTACCTGTCAGGTCCATTTGTGCTTCACAGCTTGTCCTCAACTCTTGATAAAAATCAAAGCTGATTTGTGTCATTACAATGCCCACAACAGGAAACATACAAAGCGCCCGTCTGTCAGCACAGCAACACTGCGAGGAGCTGGAGGGTGGAGGAGCAAACTGAAAAGGGTTTAGAATCACAGTGGAGACAATCAGAAAATTTTCTATTCCTCTGACATGTGAATGACACATATTTCAACACTCCAATAAAGCTCATCTCCAGTCACCTGCATACTAGAGCCACACAACAAAGTATTCTGACTGCAAATGTGTTTACATTATGGACTATGTAAATCACAGCACAAGATCTCACTGGCCTGAAAAAAGTTATGTTTTACACTCAATTTTTCACTGCTTGCTGAATTAGAAGTGGTTTACTCAGTCGTGCACACAGTATAGCATACCAAAGCCACAGCATCAGCTAAACATGTCGGTTTTCCAGACAGCCTACAGGTTGCCATTAAAGTCTAACACCTCTCCTCTCTTTATCCAAGATGTCAAAAACAGGCAGAGTTTCAGATTTAAGGAAAATACTTCCTTTTTATAAATTAAAATCTGATGAAAATGTAAGCTGATCAGTCCCTAGAGACATTGCCAGAACTGTAATGCACACAAGCATTTTTTCCAAGTTGTTTACAAACAATACACCTACCAGGGGTTCAGAAAGATGCTGTGCCTTTCCAACAGGCAGAGAGAAAATGTCTGACTGACAAGGCGCCTTAGCCCCTTTCAACATTAGAAGGCACTCCGCCGCTACCTAATTAAGGCACATTCTCTTCTCGTAAAGTATTAACAAAGCACACATTTCCCCGACTAGCACTATATTTGTCATCCTTGAATAAATTACTTCTGTATTGTATTTCATGCACTCTTCCGGCCCACATCCTGCTAGACACTGAATGCTTACTACTAGGAGCAGATGAGAGGTATGCCTAGGCAAGCTCCATTTCTTGGCTAGATGGATTGACAATGGAAAAGCTGAGTATCAATAAAACAGACATTACGGTCAGAGCAAAGCATCCCCTGTGAAAAATCACATGAGATGAGAGTGCACACACACAGGTGGGACTGGTGTCTCCTAAAACATCTCCACCTGCACTGGCAAGGATGTTCGGGACAGTATCAGAGTTACCTTTAACAGGTCTTTGGCAAGTTACCTACTCTGCATGCAGGCCATGACCACTACAACACCTGAACAACCCCTTTAGCCACTGAATTAGTAAAAATTCCTATAATTTAAACTCCTAACTCCCAAGCTCATAGACAAGAACAGAACAATATTTTTGTAGTATTTTGATATGCACTTTTCTGAGGATTCCTGCCTAACAGCATCACATAAAATGGTGTTAAACTCCAAGTTATCCTCACAGTGCTCATAAACCAGGAGCTGAGCTCTTGCCGGGACAGAGTGCTGCTCTACTTGCACTATTTTTAAGAGTCTTATTTAAATGAGTTTTCAAATACCTTGAAATACAGCAGTTAACGAAACATTACAACAAAACCAGACACTTCCTCATGAGCAAGGCGCTATTCCTGCAGCTCGCCTCTTCTGCACAGTGGCTGAAGAGGTGACGGCCGAAGAGATAATCCGTAATCTCCGCAGATTACTTAAACTCCAAGGAAATCTCTACTTTGAGAAACTTCAGGGGAACGGAGAGCATCGCCCTTCCCCTGCCCGGCCCCTCCCCGAGCCGCGGCCGCTCGGACCCCGGGCAGGGCGGGCCGGCGGGGCCGCCTCCCCGCGGGGAGCCGGGCGGCCACGCGGGTCCGGCCGGGGGAACCGCCTCGGTTCCTCGCCGGTTCCGCTGCCGCTGCCCTCCCGGCGCCGGAGGGGGCGCGAAGAGCGCGGGGTGACCCCACCTGTGCGCTTCCCCCGCGGCCGGGCCGCGGTGACAGCCGGGCCCACCCGGGGTGACTCGTCCCGGCGAGCCGGGAGGCAGCCGGGGGCCGGCGGGGAGGCCGCGGCCGGGGCCGGGCCCGCCCTGCGCGGACACCCCGCGGCGGGGACACCCCCGCTCCCCGCCCGCCGGGCCCGGCGCGGCGCCGCCCGCACTCACGATGGTGACGCTGGCCTTGCGCAGGTCGCGGTTCTCCTCCTGCAGCGCCTTGCACTTGAGCTTGTAGGTCTCCAGCTCGATCTTCAGCACCTTGTTCTCCTGCTGCAGCGAGGCCAGGCGGTTCGTCAGCTCCTCCAGCCGGAACGGCGAGATCACGATCCCGCCCGCTTTGCCGCCCCCCGAGGAGCCGCCGCCGCCGCCCGCCGCGCCGCAGCCGGGCCCCGCGCCCGGGCCGCCCCCCGACAGCGGCCCCGCGGTGCCGCCGCTGCCGCCGCCGCCGTCGGTGTCGCTCTCGCTGGCGCTGTCCGCCATCGCCCCGCGCGCGCCGCCGCCGCCGCCGCCCGAGCAGGGGGCGGCGCCCGCCGCGCGCCGGCGCCGAGACGGGCCGCGCGCCCGCCCACAGCGCCGCCTGGCGGCCCGCGCCGGCACCGCGCCAGCCGGGACACAGCGGGACACGCTGGGACACAGCGGGATGTGCCGGGATCCGGGACACTCCGGGACACACCGGGATGTGCCGGGATCCGGGACACACCGGAATGTGCCGGGATCCGGGACACACCGGAATGTGCCAGGAGACGGGATCCAGGACACACAGAACCCGGGATGTTCCCCGGGGGGCTCCCTACTCACCGAATCCTGTACCCGGGATGTGCCCGGAGGGTCTCTCCCACACCGAGCCCGATGTCGGGATGTGCCCGGGGGGGATTTATTTTACCCCGGGAGCTCCGCGGCGAACAGCCCGTTCGCGGGACTCATCTCATTGTACCACTAAACCCGTGCTGGGGAGCCGGGGGTTCGCCACACACCACCCAAACTGACCCAAACCTTGTTTTGTTTGAGAATTTTTGTACCAAAGCGGCCCACGGCGCTGCCCGGGCTGCACCCCCGGCCCAGGCCCCTTCCCCGGGGCAGCTGGCAGCCCCTCGGAGCAGAAGGAGCGGGGACCCCCATCTGCCGAGCCCCGGGGTCTGGGGGGGACAGCCCCGGCCGCCAGCCCTGCTCCCCTCACGGCACACAGACCAACCACCTGGCAGGTTAATGCAGCCCTCCAAACATCAGCAAAACTGCCTTGAATTAACATATATGGACACCCATCTCTCATTACTGATAACACATTTCCTATAATAGGTGCATTAGTTTCTTTCAATTTTTTTTCTTTTTCTCTCTCTTTTTTTTTTTTTTTTTTTTTTTTTTTTTTTTACTATTTCTTTGCAGAGCAGCAGCGAGCTATAGTGGAGAATTTGTGCCACTCATTCTATGGCAAAACATGGACTGCATTGCTCCTGGATAAATTAGTCCCCAAGACTGTATAATTGGTTTCTCAATTATTTATGAAGGGGTCTTTAACAACAGTAATTCTTCCATTAGTGGCAAGTAAGGATTTCATTATCTCTAACTGCACTACCTTTTTGTTCCGTGCCATAGTATATTTCAAATTTTACTCTTTTTAATGACTATAATATATGGAGGAATTCCATCTCTGTAAAGTAATTATTCTTTTCACCTGCCTGGGAATATGAGTGCAGGTCGTTTTATTTTTGGTCTTTTAATCACAAGAAAAGGGCTGTTCCTAGTTCTGAGCTTTGGAAACTGTTTCCTCTGATCTCCGTCCGTGTGTCTGTCCCTGGCACACGATGCTGCCCCAAACAGGGCTCAGAATGGAGAGGGGGGCAAGTGGGAGTCCCCATCCAGCACCAGCAGAGACCCACAGCTTTTCCTCAGCCTCATCAGGAGGCATCAGTTCAGGGCTTTTCAGGCTAGAAAAGGTCCTGCATCCCCTTCCCAGCCCTGTGGAAACTGAGGCACACTCCTGCATCCCATTACCTCCACACTGATCCTGGTGATGACATTAATGTGTAATAAAGACACCAAGCAATCCTCATGACCACCCTTGCTGCCCCTCAGCTGGATTTGCCATCTCTGGGCTTAGTTAGGCTGGGATTTCTCCCAAACACAAGAGCATTGTCCTCAAGAGATGCTGTCATAGATGCACAGAGCAGTTGATGGTGTCCATGAGGTCTCATGAGACCTTTTTCAGTGCTGTCCTAAAATGCCCCTGCAGCAACTCCTGGCTCTGCAGGGGCACACAAGCCTGACCACCTGGGCAGCTGCCAGCTCCATGCCCAGGCTGAGCCTTTCCACCAGCATGGGCTGTGGTGTAAAAACCTTGAGGCATTAAAATAGAATAAAAAAAATAGTGAGCGCTGTTTTGGACAGGTAGCTGCATTTCACCAGAATTGCTTTCAAATAGGTGTGCTGATATTTGGGAAGCTAGCTGGACACCATAGGGTCATGAGGAAATGTTATTTCATCCACAGCACAGGCAAGAGCTGCAAAGCTGGTTTGTCTGTGCACATGCACATGTGCTCCTCAAATCATACTTATTTCTAAACTAGCAGGTTTCTACCTCAATGTTCTTGCTCTGTCCGTCTGCCCAGCTCTGATCAGCCAGTTATCTCCACTGCTTTCAGCAGGACTGCTCACATGTGAGCATTCAGTCTTGCTGAATCAAGGCCTAAATATTTTGAAGGCCTGAATCAGCAGAACACACATCTGCTCCAGCCTAATCTTACCCAGCAAGCCCCACGGCGTGCTTAACCTTAAGCCACTCTTCAGACCTATCCATGTTAATCTTAAGTGCTTTGCTGATTTGGAGCACTATAATTTTTCAGAGGACGTGTCCTTAGCTCCTTCAGACACTAAAATTAGCCTGAAAACAGACAGGGAGGTGTAGGCAACATCCTCGACCCAGCAGCTGGGCTGGATTGGCTCAGCCAGGGGCTGCGTCCCTGGGATCACACCAGGCAGATCTGGTGCTGCCTTCAGCAGAGCAGCTCTGGAGTGCTGCAGAGAGCAGCTACAGAGATGAGGGATCTTGAGGCAGCAGGGGAGCTCTCCCCCAGCCACTTTTGCTGTGCCTCTCTCTGCTGGGCTGGCATCAGAGGTCTCACTCCCAGCCAGCATGCTGACTTTCATAACAGTGAATTATAACTTGGCACTTCTGTGGCTGTCTCGAGTTCAAAGCCATGCTGAAACATTAACTAATTAATTCACACAATAGCCCTGGAAGGCAAGAAAGGGAGGTAGGAAGCTGAGTTACTTGCCCAATGACAAACACTGAGTCAGTGGAGGAGTGGGAGGAAAACTCAGGGGCCCTGGATGTTTAGATCTGAGACAGCATCCTTCTTGTTGCAACAGCAGTTCAGTCATTTAAAAAATAGCACCTGTATATTTAATTACAATTACAGCCAACTACTCCTAATTAATAGATTAAACAGGGTCAGAAAATGTTATCCTAATTAGCACCCCCCAAAAATTAAAAAATCACATGCTTTTCACATCTGTAGGATGTTAACCAAATCAATTAAAAAGTATAAATATGTGGTATGAGCAAAATTAGCAAAACCCCCTTTTGAAGACACGTACAGCAGAGTCTGCCCCACTGACAGGGCAGCTCAGGTGCCACTGCTCCTGGTCCCCACTGCAGGCAGTGAGGGGCTTGGCATCACAGGAAAAGCCACCACAACCATCCTGCCACCACCACAGCACCTGCAGGACAAGGTCCCCACCCTCCTTGCCTCAGTATCTTTTTATTGCATGAAAAATAAAGCAGAACTGTAAGGGGGAAAGGAAAGGTGTTTGTAGAAATAAAGAATATGAAAATGTCACCAGCACTGTTATAGCAGGAGAGCAGACCAATCAAGAAGAAGAAATAATAAAACAGGGATTTATTCACAGAAACTATCATTACAGGAGGTAATGGGCAGTTAGAAACAGTGTTCCATAAACTCACATCAGCAGCAGAAATATTGTATAAAATGCATTTCTAGGTGTGAGGGGTTAGAAGAGGTGTGTTCAGAGATTTAATGTCATCCTTAATGTAATTCCAGAGGTCCATTAACTGGCTGGAAGACTTCCTATAAGAATACAATTTTATTAAAATATTCAGTAGTTATAGACTGAAGAGGGAAAGGCCAACTGAAGCTAATTAACCTAAGGAAAAAAAGTCTGCACAGTACTCAGAGTACCTGACTGAAATGCAGGGGGGGTGGAGGGGAAAGAGGGAATGGAAAGACAAAGTTGCAGGAAAATGCAATTAATGAAATACACTGCTAGGAAAATAAACTGAAGCAGCACTAAAAAGAACATGAACTGTACATAAGGGAATATTGAAAGGGGGAAATGGAGTGCATATGTGGAGAGGTTGTAGAAAGGGAGAAAGCTTGGTTTGAAAGATATTTATATGAGCAGAAAAACCCCAAATTGTGGATTAAGGCATCTATTGATGCAAGTTAAAACATGTTTTCTAACAAGCAATTCAGATGAAAATAATGTCATGCTGCTTTGCTTTTCTGACTAGCAATTATTTAATCAGAAAGCTGTATTAAGAAAGTCTCTTAGTAGGACAGAGTGTCTGACTATGAAAATGTGCTGTGTGGTAGCCAGCCAGTAGCTAATGCATCTTCATCTCTTGGGGCTTTGCTTTTGTATCCCTGTTCTCCCCAGGGAATTTTTTTCAGAGTTCATACCAGGTTGGTTCTGTTGGTCTGGCCATGTCATAATGATACCCAGCCCCTGGAAGCCTTCCAAGGAAGCTGGTGAACAGGGGATTGCTGTACTTTGCTGTTTTATCCCCAAATAGCTCTCAATAATTGAACATTAGTGTGGTGGGAAAAGTACCAACAAAACTTTTATGATAAATCTTCACCATCCTCCAGGACTTCGGGTCAAATAAATAAAGACATGCACAATTTGCATGCTGTTTTTAGCATCAGCAGTTATGAAAAATGTGGTACATACATAGATTTTCCTTGAGCAGCTCATTTTTCTGTCCTTCACTAACCTTTTCCTCTCCCAGTAAAGGACTATTTTTTACATCAAGCATTTTGTAGCAGGCTGAGGCTAAAGGGTCCACATCTGCATCAGAAAACTGCTGTACTTTCAACCAAGCAAGAATATTTTCTTGTGCACTGGGAAACCATTATCCCCTCCCTTGCTTGCTTGGGGGTTAGAGGCAAGCTGAACCAGGAGCTCCTCCTCCTCCAGCCCCAGTTTGGTAGGATCTGCCCTGAAAACAGAGGTCCTATTTGCATTCCCCACACACTCCCCAAGGCCAAGAATGCAATGGATCAGCAGCAGCTTTTCCATACATCATGCACGTGGCTCGGACAAGAACCAAGCTCCTTGCCAACACCCTGCCCAGCATCCCTGCACCAGCCCCAGCCAGGCAAGTGCCAGCCCCCTGGATTGCACCCCCTTCCCAGGGAGAGGGCTGCCCCAAGGCCATTGTGCTGCCCTTCCAACCATGCAGG